TGAATTGCCGTTGTTCTATGATATTAACTGGAAATATATAACACTGGTAACAGAAGACAGTATTTAAAGGACGCGTCTTAAAATTAGCAGATCCTTTAAAGCACAACAGGAAAAAATAACGGAAAAAACAGTAAAAAATGAGGCGAAGAATGCAGATATCTGAGGTGTGTGACAGGAAAGTAAATGTCAAATGGAATAATCAGGTTTGCGAACTATTTTTAAAAAGGTTTCCACGTGAGGAGAGGATTAGAGATTGGAGGGTAGAGTAACATCCAGATTATTAGAAAAATGCTAATTCAGCTAAGATAATGGCGAATGAGTCAGGAATGGGATAAGGCCGCTGTCGAAGCAAGCAATGGACTGGTTTCTGAGTTTTAAGTAGAAGATCACTCTCTAATAACCATGCACAAACATGATACAAACAGTTCACCAGAAACCAGAGATGAGTCTCATTCTAAGCAGGATGGCCAACAACCATATTTTTAAAATACTCAGCATACAGGCAGTCACTGGGCGACCTTAGATCATAGGTTTGAGGCGGAAGGAAGTGAGGGGCTATAATTGCACCTAGGAGCACTGCATAGTTGTGAAGAAGAAATGTAGATTTCTGGTTGACAGACCGGACAAGCTGAGTATGGGACGCAGAGTGGCCTGCAAGCCAGAAAACGCCTCAGTTAGGAGAGCCGCATTTAAATGTTTTCTTATGGAGGAGGAGGAGGAGGAGGAGGAGGAGACAGCGCGGAGCAGCATTGAAGGTCGAGGATTGATCAGAAAATGTGCGCGCATACGCACGGCAATCCTTGTCTAGATCAGTCAGAGCAAGCCTATCTACAAGAACAGCAACGCTTAAGTTAATACGTCTGATTTTATATGCGAATTGTAGAGAGTCTGAAAAAATTGGAGGGGAATGGAACAATAGTGCGTACGGCAACTCGCCCAACCCAATAACACCAAGTGGTCTGAACCAGACAGAAAACCTCTATTTTTATTATGAAAAGCGTAGAGTAGTTAATTGAAGTGTTTAATCATGAGAGACGTCGACACGACTGTTGAGAAAGACGAGGTCTTCAAAGCCTAAAAAGATAAGGTGGCGTAGGTTCTCATGCTTAACACCACCACTTAAGATAATAAGCTGCTCATGAGATAGTGAAGCAAGTTCTTGGAAAAGGAATTTGAAAAAGCGGACTAAAACATCCTTACAGGTAAAGGGAAAAAGATAAATACTAACAAACATAATGTCTCTAAAATTATTCAACAAACTGGGCTTGAACATAACAGCGATAACACATATCAGGTTACCGGGGTACTCAAAAAAGTTCTGGTTGACAAAAATGGCCATTTCTCGACCTCTGCTGCATAATGAGGATTTTCTATCGTCTGAATTTTCCTTGAAATCTATGGATCGCTTCATCGCAGCTACTCGCCCAGGCTTCCCGCATCCCTGGGCGAGGGCTACCACCGGGACCAGTTCATAAATTATTGGCAAGCGTCCACTTTCTCAGGGGACCTTATACGTGCTCCCTCCCTATGAATTGCGGTTTTTTTCTGCGCTAAGTTGACGACAGAAAAATGCACGAGAAGACACGATTACTCAAGGCTCTTGGCCGAGTACTCGTAAGGATTTACCAGTATTTTAAGACCTAAGATGGCTAAGGGTGGTATAAAGAGTCCATGTACTCTTAATTTGTTTGCGCAATAGTAAGTTGGAAGCTCATTACTACTACTACTACTACTACTACTACTACTACTACTACTACTACTACTACTACTACTACTACTACTACTACTGCTACTACTACTTTCTACGATACCCATCGTAAAGGATTTGGAATAGTTAGGTTTGTTGTCAACTTTATAGTTACAGTTCCTGCGTCATTTATGCCTGTTGCTCAGCCAACCGCGGACATGTGATCTCCGGGCAGCAGACTGAGATGTTGTTCCTCATAGTATGGTCTATATCAGGAAGTCGGTCATCATTGCATTTTTGGCCTACTGACTCACATCTTCAAACCCTTGTGTCATCGCCAGGATCTGATAATCTTAACGAACTCAGCAGACAGCATCTAGAAGGGTCATTTTGATTGACGTATTGCAACTATGCAGCGGATGGCAGATCCGGCAATTGAGTTATTTTGGAATAAAGTAAGTATGCATTCTAGTAATTGGTTTTTGGATTTGACTGAGGTATAATGGCGTGCAGTTTTTTTAAATATCAAAGCGTTTGACTGAATAAACGCTGCGTATTTTTGCTGAGAAAGTTTGCATAGAAAGCTAGCATAAAAAACCGGGAACTGATATACTAGAACCAATATTTCACGTCATTTTGTATTCGATCGGTATAAAAGTCACACTGGATCAGATTAATGAGACATAAACGTAGGATGGCAGGTAAGTAAAAGGCATGAAATCATGAACGATGAGTTAGGAAAAATAAGCTGTCAAATCATCGAGTCAATTTCAATGCAAGCTCATGAAAAGTTAATGAAACAACGGGTGTTCACTTATACGAAAATATTATTAGTATGTGGTATATGTATAGATTGGTGGAGGCGTAGCGAGAGTAGGGACACACAGTGCAGACCTCCGGTCATTCTAAATTCGTCGGTGCGTCTCGGAGGTGCTGCATGACCTTACAGTGACGGGGATAGCCCACTGCAGACTAAACGTCGTTGCCAACGATGTCCACTGTGTGCTCTACAGCAGGGTGAAAGCAGGGACGGCGAATTGGAGGTGGATTAGTTTTTAGTGAGAGTAGACTTGCGCGGCATCTACCTCACTCTCTCCTCCGCCCTCATCTGGGTTCACTGTCAAGACAAAGTCAAGAAGACCGGAAGCGGGAAAGGACGCAGGTGGATGGCGTGGCCGGACCCGCACCTGGGCGTACCACCACAGCCCCTGGTCCACAACTAACACTTTACCAATATTTTAACGAACAACAGCAAGAAGAGGACAGGGCTGACTGGACAAACTTACACGCAACCTGTATACAAAGAGGGAGCGCAAGCGCATCTACTGTCAGGGAACCAGGTTTCGGAGAACTGCCAGCGCGTACCAGGTCGCGAGGGACAGGGTTTGCTGATCATGGCATAGCAGACGTACACAACGCTTATAGCATTATGAGGTAACATACGTGACATTAACTAAGCCGGTTGGAGCAGGCACAGTCACAGCCGTAGCAAGCACTAGTAGGAAATGCGTTAACAATTCCCACCAAACCCCTTAGTGAATTCGGTGGATGTTTCTACTCTGCCCGCCCTGGAACCAAGCTCTCATCTATGACTCCAAAAGCAGTGTTCAGCATGGCGACCACGCCTTCGTAATCGTAATTGACTGGCGGGCTGGGTCAGATGAAAATGTCCAGCGTGTTTTGTTCTCCACATCCAATATCCCTTAAACTAATAAAGCTCATTCCTCCCTACCCTCCAAGAAAAGGTCCACTGGAGATGGCCACATGTCACCCCGTGAGCGTCCCAGGCCTATCTGAGCCGTCTTCCCGCTAAACAAAGTGCTGACCTATAAAGGAATTCATTAGCTGCCTGGGGATAAATAATTAGCCCTATACAGAGGAAGCAATGCCTACCTCTTTGCGATGGAGGTGGTAGAAAAAATGCACTGAAAGTGCTGGTTCTACACGCTCTCGGCAAACTGACTGTGAATTGTGGACGTAAAGAATGCGGCTGAAATCAACGACAAAACAACAGTTAGCCAGTCCTCATCCTCGTGTAATCTCGCAGAATGCCAGAGTAAAAACGCCCACTTGACAGCCTGGGGTATTCGCTGTCTTCTAGACCACGCAGTTGCCGGCCGTCCGAAACGAGCACAGCTGACTCATAACGAATCGGACACTGGGGCTTTCAGTGAGACCCACATTTCTAATGAGGGACAGCTGGAGTACATGGATGCCAGATACACCTTCTAGAGTGAACATCCAAGGTCAGAAGGACGAGATATAGGAGTCATTTTTGCCACCAATAGCTCCGTTATACAACAGTTGTTCTGCCTTCCACAGGAGAAAAAACGATCGTCTCATGGCCATAACTCAGCGGAAATAAATTCATTAACCTCATCAACACCTGCGTTCCGCTGGGGACAAACTCCGACGAAGTGAAGGACAAATTCAACAATGTCTGCAAACACTCCTGGCGACTGTGATAAAGTTAGACAAACTGACTATCCTTGGCGGCTTCAATAGCCGTGTCAGCTTAAACCTCACATTTTAGGATAGAGTGTCTGGTCGCCATGAGTCCGGCAGATGCAGCGGCAGTGGTCTATTTCAGCTGGTCTGCACGGAACAAAGTCTTCTCTTGGTCAACACATTCCGCTTCCCAATACACTTTGAAGGCGATATGGATGCGCCCTGATCGCGTCACCGACGCCTGACGGACTACAGCCTCTTCCGCATGTGTGACGATGGCCATGTGCTTATTAAGTAGACGCGGTAGCCTGAACAACAGTTTTACTCCAAGGAAAAGATGCGGCCGCAGGAATAAGGGGTGTACCCACCCGAAGTTTCGAATTCCTACTGCAATCCATCATCAGACACGGTCGCAGATAAACATGGTGAATACATAAAAGGTGGAGGGTTTAGAGGATGCAGATGCCGCACAACCACTTGCCCACTATAATTAGTAGCTCCCGCTTTCATCGTTGGGTGTCGTATTTGATTCGGTGTTGCTTGTTAGTCCGCGCCCAAAACCTTAATTACCGTGACTTCATCACCATTTTTAACTCACGGCATAATAGTTACTCGGAAATTCGGCTAGTTGTCACTGGAACCGTTGGTTGCCATCGCCATCCTAAAGGGGCTAGTTACTATGCCCAGGCGAAGTCTCAGCATATAATATGGAGGCGCTCGATGGGTGACTACGCTGTGTGAACAACCGCAACCCCAATTTGTGTGAAACGTTCGCTGACTGCCTCCGAGACCTTCTCGACACAGAGAACTTAATGCGACTTTTGCATTGGAGTGCTTAGGGGCAGTATGCCTAACCGATGACGGCATGGCGGGCGGCCATGAAAGGACTTCTGCCCAAATCTATGAGCCTGTCATTGTGCGCAAAGAGAGCCCTCCCCTACGGCCCACCCTGCAATCCGAAGATGCCCCAACCTATGGACTGGCGCAGCAGCTCTTTCGACATCTCATATTTCCGACCGATGCTTTCGAGACCATGGCCATTTCGTCAGCACAAATCATGGCAAATCTTAGAGAGGTTAATCTAATGTCAAATGAGGTCATGGTATCTCCGTCCTTCTTGACCTTTGTTCCCAAGGATCTGGCGGTCGATACCACCAAACCACTTCTGCAAAGCAAATACAATGAAATGGAGAATCGCCCTTGGCAGGTCCATATTCCTAAGCCCCTAAAGATTGGTCTCAAAGCGAACTTCGGATTCGACGGAAAGGTCTAAGAATAGGTGAAAGACACGTTCATGGATTTACTGACCTTGCGACTCAAATTTAGGATGGTCATGCAGCAGTTTGAGTCAATGGTTTTCCAACATCACTCAACTTCTGGGTTGAGTGCGGTATGCAGTTGCATAAAAATTATCTTGCTCTAGCCTTCCAAAATGCGCCTGTAGGCATAAACTTTGGATAACGGTTCAAACTCGAACTGCATTCCCGTGGTTGGTTTGCTTCTTCTCATTTGACCGGAATATACAACCTGTGGACATTGATCATCCATGCCCAAGGATAGACCGGTTTATATTTTACATTTATGACCCCTTCGTCATTGAGAGGGATCAGACGGCGCTATCCAAAAAACATCACAGCGCTGTCTTCGCAGATATACAATTGACGATGTAGACAGAAGAAGATAAACAAATCGCCTCCCTTTATTTCCCCGCCTGTTGCAAAGTTTGTGATGGCCTGAGTACCGAAATGCGACAAGTAGTAACTGGGCTACATGCAATCAAACAATTATCGCACAAAAGGCAACCATCTGTGATGAACGCGGTAAATACTTGTGCAAAAATCACCCTTATTTAGCACTGTCTATTATGATGGAATGATGTGGATGCGAAAAGTCAGACGAATAGACCTCTTGATACATCCTTTTCATTTGCTCCCTGGAGTATGAGATTTTGCCTCTATCGACTATTTGATAAGATAGTGGTCAGGGAGGATTGTGGTTCCGACTGTTGTACAAACCGCTATATGGTCACTACGAACATGAGGCCTCAACGTCAACCCCAGAGTCTTTCACAGGTTAAGCCTAAACCAGGTACGGGAAAGTGTGTTATATTTGATATTACTGAATACCTAGTGGATTTCATTCTAAAAAAGATGCAAGTTTGGAGCCGAATACCGCTGTCAAGACCCAATGAAGTGAACTATGGGATACCAAGCAGTCAGCTGCTTTGTCACTCCTTGGCCGTTTACGTCGACAGCGCCATGAGTGGTTCGATAATACCGAGAAAGTCATCCACGGTTCGCCTTCCGATAAACACGGGCTACATACGACCTGCATCACGAAATCTCAGCTGCTGAAAACTAGTATAGAGGCGGCTGGGGTAGATCTAGAAAGATTGGCTAACTCGCAAGGATAAATAAATCTGAGGATATGCAGATTGGGATAAAATGAAAAGCTTGTTCGCGGCCATCAAAATAGTTTGCGGCTCTCAAATACCAAAGAACTGCGCTTCTGCTCGTTTAGAATAGAACAACGCTACCGGCAGAGAAGTCAAAGATCTTTGGACATTGAGTCACGCACTCCCAGGACGTCCTCATTCATGCGTCCTCAATCTGCAAAGAAACAATCAAGAGACTTCGTCAATTGAACTCCAATGTCGACCCCAATCGTCCATCTACCCCTCAAAAGACAGGCCAAACAACGCCGTGGCCCTTAGTGGAGGTAACCAGATGCCGACTCAGTCGCAACCCACCTTCACGAATAATGCGTCCCCAACTCATACACAAGCTAAATTTTCTGTTCCAAAAGGAGTAGATATGAGGAAAGTTCCTTAATACTTCAATGCTATCACCATCGATTAAATGTAAAAAAGCAATTCAGACCGTAGCGGGATATTCCTCTCCAAAATTACAGGCAGAATCTTTGCCTAAGTTCCACTAAATCACCAAAACATGCAACCAGTCAGAAACAATACCA